TCAATGGCTTTATGTGATAGATGTGTTATTGAACCATGGCAGCTGTACTGGTGTCCCTGGTTCTATGTGACAGATATATCCCTGAACAATGGCAGCTGTACTGGTATCCCTGGCTGTATATGATATGTATGTTACTGAACCATAACAGCTACGCTTGTGTCCTTGGCTGTATGTGACAGATGTGTTACTGAACAATGACAGCTGTAATGGTGTCCCTGGCTGTATGTGATAGATGTGTTACTGAACCATGACAGCTGAACTGGGCCCGGTGGTCTGGTGGCTAAAGCTCCCGCTTCACACACGGAGGGCCCGGGTTCGATTCCCGGCGGGTGGAAACATTTCGACACGTTTCCTTACACCTGTTGTCCTGTTCACCTAGCAGCAAATAGGTACCTGGGTGTTAGACGACTGCATCCTGGGGGACAAGATTAAGGACCCCAATGGAAATAAGTTAGACAGTCCTCGAATACGCACTCAATTTCTTGGGTTATCCTGGGTGGCTAACACTCCGGGGTTAAAAATCCGAAAGAAATCTTATCTTATCTTACTGGTGACCATGGCTGTATGTGATAGATGTGTTACTGAACCATGGCAGCTGTACTGGTGTCCCTGGCTGTATGTGATAGATGTGTTACTGAACCATAACAGCTACGCTGGTGTCTCTGGCGTATGTGATAGAATGTGTTACTGAACCATGATAACTGTACTGGTGTCCCTGGCTGTATGTGATAGATGTGTTACTGAACCATAACAGCTACGCTGGTGTCTCTGGCTGTATGTGATAGATGTGTTACTGAACCATGATAACTGTACTGGTGTCCCTGGCTGTATGTGATAGATGTTTACTGAACCTTTGATAATGACTATGGTGTCCTGGCTGTATGTGATAGATGTGTTACTGAACCATAACAGCTACGCTGGTGTCTCTGGCTGTATGTGATAGATGTGTTACTGAACCATGATAACTGTACTGGTGTCCTGGCTGTATGTGATAGATGTGTTACTGAACCATAACAGCTACGCTGGTGTCTCTGGCTGTATGTGATAGATGTGTTACTGAACCATGATAACTGTACTGGTGTCCTGGCTGTATGTGATAGATGTGTTACTGAACCATAACAGCTACGCTGTTGTCTCGGGCTGTAGTGATAGATGTGTTACTGAACCATGATAAACTGTACGGTGTCCTGGCTGTATGTAAATGATGTGTTACTGACCATAACAGCTACGCTGGTGTCTCGCTTTTATGTATAGATTGTTACTAAACCATGATAACTGTACTGGTGTCCTGGCTGTATGTGATAGATGTGTTACTGAACCATGATAACTGTACTGGTGTCGCTTACTGCATGTGATAGATGTGTTACTGAACCATGACAGCTGTACTGGTGTCCCTGGCTGTTTGTGATAGATGGTGTTACTGAACCATGATAACTGTACTGGTGTCCCTGGCTGTATGTGATAGATGTGTTACTGAACCATGATAACTGTACTGGTGTCCCTGGCTGTATGTGATAGATGTGTTACTGAACCATGATAACTGTACTGGTGTCCCTGGCTGTATGTGATAGATGTGTTACTGAACCATGATAACTGTACTGGTCCCTGGCTGTATGTGATAGATTGTGTACTGAACCATGATAACTGTACTGGGTCCCTGGCTGTATGGATAGATGTGTTACTAAACCATGATAACTGTACTGGTGTCCCTGGCTGTAGGAGATGGGTTACGGGAACCATGACAGCTGTACTGGTGTCCCTGGCTGTATGTGATAGATGGGTTACTGAACCATGACGGCTGTACTGGTGTCCCTGGCTGTATGTGATAGATGTATTACTGAACCATGGCATCTGTACTGGTGTCGCTTACTGCATGTGATAGATGTGTTACTGAACCATGACAGCTGTACTGATGTCCTGGCTATATGTGATGTGTTACTGACCCATGGCAGTTGTACTGTTGTCCCTGACTGTATGTAATAGATGTGTTACTGAACCATGACAGCTGTACTGGTGTCCCTGGCTGTATGTGATAGATGTGTTACTGAACCATGACAGCTGTACTGGTGTCCCTGGCTGTATGTGATAGATGTGTTATTGAACCATGACAGCTGTACTGGTGTCCTTGGTTGTATGTGACAGATATATCCCTGAACCATGACAGCTGTACTGGTGTCCCTGGCTGTATGTGATAGATGTGTTATTGAACCATGACAGCTGTACTGGTGTCCTTGGTTGTATGTGACAGATATATCCCTGAACCATGACAGCTGTACTGGTGTCCCTGGCTGTATGTGATAGATGTGTTATTGAACCATGACAGCTGTACTGGTGTCCTTGGTTGTATGTGACAGATATATCCCTGAACCATGACAGCTGTACTGGTGTCCCTGGCTGTATGTGATAGATGTGTTATTGAACCATGACAGCTGTACTGGTGTCTCTGGCTGTATGTGATAGATGTGTTATTGAACCATGACAGCTGTACTGGTGTCCTTGGTTGTATGTGACAGATATATCCCTGAACCATGACAGCTGTACTGGTGTCCCTGGCTGTATGTGATAGATGTGTTACTGAACAATGGCAACTGCACTGGTGTCCCTGGCTGTATATGATATATGTGTTTCTGAATCTTGACACCTGTACTGTTGTCCCTGGCTGTATGTGATAGATATGTTACTGAGCCATGACAGCTTTATTGATGTCCCTGGTTGTATGTGATGTGTTACTGAACCATAACAGCTGTACTGGTGTCCCTGGCTGTATGTGATAGATGTGTTACTGAACCATGACAGCTGTACTGGTGTCCCTGGCTGTATGTGATAGATGTGTTACTGAACCATGACAGCTGTATTGGTGTCCCTGGCTGTATCTGATAGATATGTTACTGAACTATTACAGCTGTACTTGTGTCCCTGGCTGTGTGTGACAGATGTGTTACTGAACCATAACAGCAATGCTGGTGTCGCTGGCTCTATGTGATAGATGTCTTACTGAACCATGGCAGCTATAATTGTGCCCCTGATTGTATGTGATATGTTACTGAACCATGGCAGCTGTTTTTGTGTCCCTGGCTGTATATGATAGGTTGTGTTACTGAACAATGACAGCTGTACTGGTGTCCTGGCTGCATGTGGTAGATGTGTTACTGAACAATGACAGCTGTACTGGTGTCTCCTGGCTGTATGTGATAGATGTGTTACTGAACAATGACAGCTGTACTGGTGTCCCTGGCTGTATGTGATAGATGTGTTACTGAACAATGACAGCTGTACTGGTGTCTCTGGCTGTATGTGATAGATGTGTTACTGAACAATGACAGCTGTACTGGTGTCTCTGGCTGTATGTGATAGATGTGTTACTGAACCATAACAGCTATGCTGGTGTCCCTGGCTGTATGTGATATATGTGTTACTGAACCATGACAACTGCACTGGTGTCCCTGGCTGTATGTGATTGATGTATTACTGAACCATGACAGCTGTATTGGTGTCTCTGGCTGTATGTGATAGCTGTGTTACTGAACCATGACAGCTGTACTGGTGTCCCTGGCTGTATGTGATAATGTGTTATCGAAGCATGACAGCTGAACTGGTTTCCCTGGCTGTATGTGATAGTGATGTCCCATCACAGCCTGTTGCCCAGCAGAATGGGAGCCTCAGGAAGTGAGGCCTCACAGAAGCCATGCTTCCCTGAAAGGATGGAAAGCAGATAGTACTGGAAAACACATGACGTCTTCGTTGGCCGACATCTGCCTTCAGTATTCTGAAGATGCTGGTGCTGCCTGTTTCAGGGAAACCCAGATCAAATACAGAGGGTTGACACCATATTATAACGTCAGGCGAAAAGCTCAACACGGTAACCAATGGCCCTATAGTACTAGGCGAGTTTCCTCTTTCAGAGACTTAGTGTTACGATCCAAAGGGATCGTTGTTTTTCTTCTATTGTATTTTTATAGTGTATTTTGCTTTCAAATAAATGAATATAAGGGGTGATAAAAGAAAATACTTAAACTACTCCTCGGTGAATCTCGAGTTTTTCCCTGAAGTAAGTTTATTCTCTTCTCTGAGTATGAGGGTTCCCAGCCCAGTTCTAGAGGGAGGTGGTACCTCCATTTTTTTTTTGAATAATAAAATATATATATAAATTTTATATATAAATATATATATATAAATATATATATATATATATATATATAATATATAAAATATATATATTTTACATTAATGTCGTGCCGAATATGTAAAACTGGTCAATTAGGAAGATCTCATTTAAAATTAAGTCCTTTCTGAAATTTTCTCTTATACGTTTAAAGATATATTTTTTTCATTAATGTTAATGTATTTTTTTTTTAATTTTGCACCAAAAGATTCTTAGAAAACTTACCTAACCTTATTATAAGAAGAGCAATTTATTTTAGCCTAACCCAACTAAATATATTTTAGGTTTGTTTACAATAATTTAATACTAAAAAAACCCAGTGAAATATATATTTTTCGTTAGGTTTTAAATGATTTTGGCGAAATTATTGCATACACAAATTTTCACTTGTCCTATATGGCAAAGATGAGAGTTGCTATTTAAGCCAAGATCGCAAGTTCTGCCTATTTGGCACGACATGGAATATATATATATATATATGTTTTAAAATATATTTAAATATATAATATAATATATAATATATATTAAATTTTATATATAATAAAAATATATTAATAAACTTCTTCTTTCAAACACACCACCGTATCCCACCGAGGCGGGGTGGCCCAAAAGGAAAAACAAAAGTTTCTCCTTTCACATTTAGTAATATATACAGGAGAAGGGGTTACTAGCCCCTTGCTCCTGGCATTTTAGTCGCCTACTTACAACACGCATAGCTTTCGGAGGAAGAATTCTGTTCCACTTCCCCATGGAGAATATATATATATATATATATATAATAGACATTTTTTCTTTCATAATAACTTGGCGCTTCTCTCCCCTCTTCCTTGTTGAACAGATATGGAACACTGCATTGGGCTTTACACCCACAATCAAGGGTTCTGGAACGACCAACACTGTTCTCACAAAGAGGGTCGTGTGTGTAAGAAGCAACATGGTGTTACTCTCCCTCCTGCACAAACCACCCCGCTGCCTGCTGGTCACTGCTCTCCTGGATGGCTCCAAGTAGGTACGTTACTCACCTCTCTTACATCTTGGCCTAGAAATACAGAAAGGCTCTCTCTTTCTCTCTCTCACACTCATTTACTCAAGGTTTTAAAAGGTTAGGTTAAGGTTTATTTACACGGTAAGAGCTGTTACTTCCGTCAAAAAGAGACTCGGATAGAGAACAGGATAAAGTTAGAGCCATCTGTTGCCCAGCGTTTTCATTTGGTCAATTGATTTTATTTCGTTGATTTTATTATCCTGTAGGAACATGTTCCAGACTCGTTTAATCTTAGGAATAAATGATCTCAGGTGAAGCGATGTCCCGGAACTTTTACACAACAAGACGGCCAGCTGTCTGCTGCCCGTCTTGTTGTGTAGAAGCTCATTTCTCTGTATCCTGGGAGATGAGCCAAGTGCGATACTTTGACAATATTGGCCTTGTACATAACAGTAATCCACTCACATTACTCCGGTGTTGAAAGGTAAGCTGAAATGACGGATCTATCAAGGTTGGGTCCACGAGAGAGATGAGCTGTCTTGCTCTCTTCTCTGTTCTCTCAAGAAGTCGCATATGAGGCGGAGGGCAAGCAATCTAAGAAAGTGGAGCATTCTCAAGGTGTAAGCCTAATGCATAATCTTGCAGCCTCCACTACCTAGCTGATGCGAGATACGTCGAAATGCTGTAAGCTTCATAGCCGCTTTGTTTACAAGATTTACAGCGTGGATCTTCATGGCCAGTTTGGAGGCAAATTTTATTAATTTTTTTCCCTGGTACCAACACTCTCCCATTCATTGTTACCTCTGCTCCAGCATTACCATCATGGTGCCTCGAGACCATTATCGTTAGTGTTTTCTCAGGAGCAAATTGACCTGCCATTATTTTCCACAGGCTGATATAGTTTGAAGTTGCTAATTGATGGAACTTAGAACAGCTGCCACTTTCTCTCTTGGATAAAGTAAATGTCAGTGTCTCATCCCAGAATCCCATGCATATGCATGGGATTCTGGGATGAGATGAAGAGGATCATTGTAGTAGATATTTCATAACAATGGCCCAAGCACCTTTCCCTGTGGAACACTTGCTAACTCCGTCTCGTTGAGAACTACGCTTAGAGATCTACCTCGAATTACTGATGGGAAATACTGTAAAGCCAGCGAGTCCCACTGTTTGCAGTTTTGACAAGAGTATCTGGTGCTTCACACGGTCGAAATATCCAGTGCTACTGCACAGCTGACTCTCCATAACCGTCTTAACTACTACTGACCCGTTCCTCGGGTATGATCTACTTTCACTGGGAAATAACGCCTACCAGTGACAATGTCTTAGTCTGCTACCCGTCCTTCAACTGACGCCAGTATATAAGCGCCAGTCTTCAAGCCTGTTCTTCAGACTCTCCACGACTGCTATACTCTTCGCAGACTCCAAGGCTGAGGGACTGATTACCTCAACTTCTGTTTATAGTTCTACTGTATTTCCAATTATATCCTTGAATTTATATTGATAAAGCCACTGGATGGTGAAACGTCTACAATAAAGATACCCAGATGTTGCACATGTGACTAATTCTTCATCCTGTCGGTACTGTATACCATACATGTACACCTGGGACTGTTAATGAATTATCCCTACTATCATACTTAAATCGATACAAAAGGTAATTGATTTGAGGTCACTTGCGCTAAGTTCCTCTATAATCTTTAGATTATTAAAAAGGGTATCCTTATTAACCAGAACCATATCAATCAGGTTATTTCCCCTCGTTGCTTCTGTCACAAACTACTCCAAAAAAAAGTCTTAAACTACCTCCAGGAAGTCCTTTGACTCAAGATTCCCAGTCAATGAATTCCAGTCAAAGTCTCATTTAAAGTTTCATAGAATTACTACATTGTCGTGACTTGTGGCCTGAACAATTTCTTCCTAAAGTAGTCCCCCGATATCCCTTTCCAAGGATGACAAAGTTAATCCCATGTAACAGAAATATTTCCTACGAGTACAGAATGAGGACCCTGAAACTGTATTCTCTAGAAAGGTCTAGAATTGAGGGAAGTATATGACTGAGGTGTAAAATTAGAAAACAGGAATAAATAAAAGAGATGTAAATAACGACCTAAAAATATCTAAGACAGGACTCGCAGTAATGGTGTCAAGTTGGAAAAATTGAGATTTATAAAGGATATTGGAAAGCACTGGTTTAGTAATAGGTACACGTCAGTTGTGACGTGTACCTTGACTAGTGTGCTCTCCGTTCTTAGATACTTGAGATTGTGATGATGCTGCCCTCGACTATGAGCAGATATATCTTCAGCTTAAGACAGGATTAACGGAAGCAAGAAAAAGCCAACAACTGAAGACTATGTGCAAGGATTATCTCCGGAGCAACGCCATCGATGATCAGACCAGCGAATGGATGCTATTTGGAAATGAAGGGACGAAGCTGAAGAAAGTCCAGAAGGTTGCTGTGAAAACCAGCAACTCTTTTTCCTTCTTATCTGACGAATGTGAAGCGACCATTCAAGGCCTTCCAACGAAGACAGTTCCTACTAGGACCATTGTTAACGGCACAGCCAAGCCAGCCAGTGAAGACATCCCAACGAAGACCATCTCTAAGAAGACCGTCGAGAACGTCATGAACACCTCCAGTCAAGGTAAGAACATAGTTTTAGTTGAGAACAGGTTAAATTTATGGATAGGGCATTTTGTCTTGGAGATAGGAAGAGGAGGCAAAGGGGTTGGGATGGAGGATATTGTTAGCCCTCTGGACGACATGAGAGGTAATGGGAGCAATCCCTTTATTTGTCTCGGTGCTGGAGGCAACGATGTTGGCAGACGTAGGAGTGAGGACCTGATTAGCAGGAATAGGTCAGCAGTAGACATTATTAGTATTTGGAATTTTGCCGATGAGACGAATTAGAAATAAATGGTTGTCCTGGGCAATTAGTGTTAATTGCTAGCTGGACAAAAACTGTAAGGAAAATGCAGAAACATTCGTAGACAACTGGGACCTCTTCTATGGCAGAAATAACATGTATGCCAGGGATGGGGTTCACTTAACCAGGTCTGGGGCGGGGGCACTGGTCGATGCAGTGGAGAGTTCTGTTAGGGCTTTAAACTAGATATTGTGGGTATGGGCTTTTGTGGGAAAGCAATGAACTATGATACAATATAAATGGGCAGGACGAATTCTCAGTGTAGCGATAATGTTAGGGAAACCAATTATAGGTAGAAAAAGAAAGAGTTCTTTGCAAATTTGGAAAATCAGTAGCACGAAGTGGTAAGGACAGTAACAGAGATAGTAAAGGAGCAGGACTGAGCAGGAGGGAAAACAAGAGAGGAGGTTTCTAAACATGTATTGCAAATAGTCGTGGCAGAAACAAGATGGACGAGTTGAAACTAGTTGCAAATGCGGGTAACAATGACGTATTTGCCATAACTGAGACGTGGTTTGATATGAAGATTCGAGACATATCTGCTGAATGTACATTAAAGGATTTCAAGTTATTCAGAGTTGATGCAAGGAACTGTAAGGGAGCGGGGTAGCAATGTATGTCAGGGAACATTTAAATTGCTGCATTATTGTGGGTATTAAAACTGAAACGACACACACACACAGTCTGTCAGGGTAAGATTTTCGGAAGGGCGTAAATAAAAATTAATTTTAGACGTGATTTACCGTTCGTCAAACTTGGAAAGGACCTACGGAGACTACTTTGGGAGGAAACTGTTAAGGCCACAAGGCACGAAAACTTACTAATTCTAGGGGACTTCAGTCAAATAGACTTGAATTCACTGTCTGGGAATCTTGAGTCAAACGATTTCCTGGAGGTAGTTCAAGACTATTTTTTGGAGCAGTTTGCGACAGAACCAACGAGGGGAAATAACCTGCTTCATTTGGGTCTGGCTAACAAGGACACGCTTATTAATAATTTGGATATTACTGAGGAAACTGGTATAAGCGACCACAAATTAATTATCTTTAGAATCGATTGGAAATATGATAATAGGGATAATTCAGTAACATTCCCAGAATTTCGCTTAGCTGGGGTATCGAAGAGAACTATCAGTATGACGGTTTTCTAAACATTATACACGCTGCCCAAAGAACATTTATGTCATTTAAGAAATGAGATCGAATATGAATGATTAGAAATAGATGACTACTAGGCTTAAACATCTTTTGGGGTTAGAAGAAAGGAATTTGGAGGCGTATCAAAAGAGATGAGGACCATCTCTTAGATCAATATACACACATTAAGAGGAAATTTATAAAAGGGACTATGAAATTCAAATTCAAATGGCAAATGATTCAGAAACGAACTGGAAAGTTTTTTTTCCAGGTTATAGATCAAAAGTTAGAGAAAAGATAATTCCACTTAAAAATAACTCCGGTCATCATACTGACAAGTTGAATAAAATGTGCTCGATTTTTAATATTTATTTCCTCTCGGTTTTCACACAGGAAGATACTAACAATATCCCAGTAATTAATTTTATAGTGGGCCTGAAGAAGATAAATTATGTAATATCACTGTCACTAGGGATATGGTTATCAAACAATTGAAACAAAATAAATCCCCGGGTCTGATGAACTTTTTTCCAGGGTTCTTAAGGAGTGCAAAATGGAGCTATGCGAACCATTAACTAACATTTTTAATATATCTCTTCAAACATGTGTGGTGTCCAATGTGGAAGATGGCTAATGTAAGTCCTATTTTTAAAGCAGAGAATTAGTAGTTACCTTCAAATTACCGCCCAGTAATCCTGACCTCAATTGTAGTAAAATTAGAAGAGTCAGTTATAGGTGATATTAAAAGATATCTTGATAAGCGTAATTTCATCTATGATACTGATCATGGATTCACGAGAAGCCGTTCCTGCCACGATTAAGTTCGTAGATGCTAGAACAATGTAGGTCAAGAGTTGAACTTGGGACCAGATATATAGTATCTCACTACACATTCTCTGAAAAGCGTCAAATATCAATAAATCTAAATAATGCTCTCTCAACAGAGTTGCACAGAGTTACGAGAGGTATGTCCCTGCTGACTAAATGAGACATACTCTACTACAGAGTCTATATCATGTGAGATGAGGAGAATAGCATTCTCCCAAAGCAGTAACAAAAGGGAGAGAGAGAGAGAGAGAGAGAGAGAGAGAGAGAGAAGTAAGCCTGCATATCTGATATCAGGTGACTTATACCAGATTGCTCCTGACACGGACAATATAACAAGAGGGCTGGAAGTTTGCAAATACTGGCAGCCAATCAAAGCTTTCCAACAAAGCTTAATTGTCCACTTATTGAGGAATATAGAGATAGTATAATAACCAATGTGATATGTCAAGATATCTTATTAATGAAAATAAGATACCAGGTATATTAAGCAAATTTCCTAAATTTGCTTGTAACAGATATGTGAATTGTTCATATAAATCCCTTTTGGGGCCTAGCTCTTAGCCCTTTCGGGTATCCGTATGCTCTTGCGCTACCCTCCACAGGATGGATATGGTGTACACAATAAACTAGCCACATAGGTGGCAAAATTTAATCTAATGTAATCTCTCAAATAATATAAGACAGTCAGGCTGAAATAAAAGAAAAGCTGAAGTTAGTTCTGAGTTACAGAAAGAGTGTGTGATTAAGAAAAAGGCAATATATAATTGTTAAAAGAAGTTGTGAAAGTTTGGCGATGGCGGAAGCGTCCTACGAAGTTGCCTTTGCGTTGGCTAAAAAACAAAAAAGTAGACGATATCGCTTTGTCAAAGCAAACGGTTACAAGACGCACCGAAAAACTTTCCCATGATGCATATGAGCAACTGAAAGACCTTGCCCAGGCTTGTACTTTTTTTTCTTTAACTTTGGACGAATCTGCTGACATATGTGATGTAGCCCAGTTGAGCATTTTTATAGGAGGAATTGATGATAATTTTTAACATCTTGGAAGAACTTATCCATCTGTAGTCAGTTCATGGAAAAACAAGACGATCATACATATTTGAAAAGCAAAGTCAAGCCTAGAAAATCTGCAACTAGATCCTAGTCAACTCATCAGTGTTTGTACTGAGTAAAGCAGCTGGCACTGCAACTTTGCTTAATGTGGCAACGTTTCGCTCTCCAGGAGCTTTGTCAAGACGGCTTGACAAAGCTCCTGGAGAGCGAAACGTTGCCACAGTAACAACTTTGCTTAAATTTTTTTACGTTTTACTTTCTTAAAATATCACTGCATTATACACCAAGAGTCAGTGTTTGGAAAAACTTTAAATTTGCAGCATGTTATGCTACCGGTTGTGAAATGCCCGAATGAAATTGGAACAAGAGGATTATTAAGCAAAAGATAATTCAGAGAATATTGTGAATTGTTAGACCTGGAATATGGTGATCTCATCCTTCTTTGTGAGGATCACTGGCTTTCTAGAGGACAGATTCTCAGTAGATTTTGGGAAATGAAAAATAGTTTCATTATTTTCTAAACGAGAAGAATGAGCTACCTGAGGAAAGAGACCTTTTATGTGATAATAAATGGCTATTTGATTTAGCATTTTTAGTTGATGTTACCAGCTATCTCAGTGATCTAAATTTAAAACTTCTGTGCAAGAACAAATAGTTTCCTAGCTTAGTAAATGATATCTGGGAATTTAAGATGAAGTAAAAACTGTTTACCTCTTAGAAAATGAGGATTTTAGCCAGTTTCACATTTGAAAGAACATTCAATCTGCTGAAGATAACGGTAGTTTTACCGATTATATTATGAAAAGATTCGGGTTATTGCAAGAGTCAATGAAAATCGTTTTAGTGATTTTGTTAAAGAAGACTTGTGAACAGAAGATCCTGAAGATGCCTAGTAACATACAAGTGGAACTAACTAGGTTAGGTTAGGTAAGGTTCGTCAGGAAACAGGACAAATGTTTCCTGACGTGGGTCTTAGTCAGATGATGACCCGCCTTTGGAGCTTTTGGTCATCTGACCGAGGCCTTTCGCTGGCTTACCGGTCCACCCCTTTAAAAATTATGGTCATTTATAACCATTGTTATATATATATTTTTTTTTTTGGAACTAACTGATTTGAAAACAAATTCATTATTGAAACTGAAATCTGATAAGCTTCCCACAGTCCCAAATTCTTTTGACATATTAACCTGGGAACATTTTCCATAACTAAGAAAATTTGCCCAGAGTTATGTCTGTCACTTTTGGAACAACGTACAGATGATAACAAGCATTTTCATCCATAAAATTAATGATAAGCAAACTCAGGTTGTGATTAACTGATCCAGATTTGAAGAATTCTCTGCTGCTCTCAATAACTAATTAGACTTCAAACATTAAAAGCTTGGTGAAATCAGACTCAAAAGTCTCATTAAAGTAATGTGTATGATGTTTTTATGTTAAATCATTTTATATAAAAATGTTAAATATATCCATATTAACATATATTTAAAAAAAACTGAACTAGTGTGAAAAAATTGGAGCATAGAATGCAAAAGGTTGGCCACCCCTGGCTTAGACACTTATATTAATATTTATTGAGCACTTATCATTACTATCCACTATATTAATAGTTCCTAGTGCAGTAATATTTTCTTAGTTATTTATTAAAGACGCCTAGTGTGACGCTGGGTCGCAGTCACTACAACCCCGTAACTTTAACAAACAACTAATAATCTCAAGAATATTATTTCTATTTAGTTATTATAATTTACTTCATTCTTTAAAGGCATCCCTTCACATGGGTGTGTATATTTCACAGGTAGCAAGTGCATGAAAGTGTTTACAGAGATGTTGAACATCACTGATGCCAGAACAGCTTGTCGAGAGGAGAGTGCTGGCGCAGAACTGGCCAGCATCCATTCAGCTGCTGAACAAGGTATCAGTCTTCATTTACCTATATCTTATATTGATATCTCATACTGTTGAATTTACAGGTAAAGAACAGTGGAAGTGTCACCACCCATTTCAAAATAAAGCCCTATTATATGTATCATACCATCTATGAGCTACCACTAGTGATGGGATGAGCCCACATACAGATGAACAGCCGCAGGTAATGGTAGGGGTAGCTGGTAATAATAATAATAATAATAATAATAATAATAATAATAATTTTATTTCTACATGTACATGATCAAGGTATTCAGGCCTAGTTGACATCAATGATATATTACTATGTAGAAAGCTGCGTGTTGTGCAGAGCAATTTGGGCAAATTAGTTCGTGTCCCAGGATGCGACCCCACACCAGTCGACTAACACCCAGGTACTCATTTTATACTGATGGGTGAGCAGGGACAGCAGGTGTCTTAAGGAAACACGTCCTAATGTTTTCCAGCCGTACCGGAGATTCGAACTCAGGACCTCATTGTGTGAGCTGAGTGCGCTAGTGATTGAGCTACGGGACACCCCAATGGATGAGGTAAACTCCCTTATTGCACTGTAGATTTATTAGAGATTTTAATGGTATGAAGTGTCCATGAGGGTACCAGGCCAGGGAGATTTTCACAGGTACACGCAGTTAGGCAAATAGATCGTAATCCTTCCTGGTCCAATAACAGAGTACAGGTAATCAAGTAGAACTTCGTTGTTAGGAAGTTTTAAATTCATCAGTGGTAAAATAATTAACATTACCAACAAATGTGATACGAGGCAATGCATCGGCGACGGTGTTTGGCTTTCCTGGACAGTAGGGGATTTCTGGTTTGTAGTACTTAAACTATGAGGATTTGCTTGTATTATCATCAGAGGCAAGTAATTTGTATAGACCTTGATGCTGATATTGATTAATGATGTTTCTGAAGTAGAGATGTATCTGATGTGAAAATTTAGATATCCCCGGATGCAGATGCGGATGCGTACGAAGATGTCTTATTTATTTCGCGGATGCGGATGCAAGAATTTGTGCGGATGTTCCACGGATGTTGATGCGGATGTGGATATCCGATACATCACTATTCTGAAGGAACCTAAAGTTAAAAGCTCTATCCAAACAATAGACAGAGCTTCTAATTTGGTCACTGGTTTGTGCCGAATATGTTACACAACCATTAGGCATGCCCTCTGGACCAGAGAACTGGCATTTCAGAGTGCAGCGTTCTGGGACCCCACTGCTGAGCTTATTGTCTAGTTCAACCTGCCAGTTACGTGGAATCCCGCTACTTAAACCAAGGTGACATCACTTCAGGTTACCTGGATGAGTTGCAGAATTCTCCACTCATGGCCACTCATGCTTTTAATGGGTCTTGATTATTCTATTTTACTCTGACTTCTTTAATCATTAATATTGTACATAGTGTAAATATTGGTGAAGGAATATTCCCAGATTTGTTTCCTTGCCTTTGCTTTGCCCTGCTGATTGTTTTGTATGTTGCGTTAGTTACAAAGAGGTGCTACAGCCTTTTAGAATACTGCCTGTGTTCGTAATATTCACTAAATAATTATATTCATCCGTGGAAGGAACTCAGATAACATACAGTATTAACTGATTCTTCCTTTAAAATTCCTGCGAGAAGACAGCAAGCTGTTATTAGCAGTCAGTGTGAACTCTTCAGAGAACTCAGGGAACTTCAGAACAGGTACAAATGCTAATTTGCTCTTGAGACTAGTGAATGTTCAAACTAGGTCAGCTTTCCATTTGAATGCAAGAGCATTCTGAAGTTGCTGAGTAAATGATGCTACAATTATATAAAAAAAAATTGCCAGTGCAAGTGTGGTAGAATCCAGCTAGGGCTGGATTCTACCACGTGTCTGCTATCATAGGGCTACGAAAATGTTACCTGCAGAGAGCCTTGGCTCATTTGTCTTGATGCCATCCTGGGACACTATGTGATTTCTGTTTGGATGGTATCATTTCAAGTTCATCCAGATGCTAAGTTGTATAGTGCGACATGATGTCGATGTATAAGTAGACCGCGTGTTACATACAAGACTGCAGAATATAGTCGTTATAAGTTGGCTTAAACTAAAATACTTTGTAACTCAAAGAGCATTCTGCAGAAGCGACAAGACTAACTTAGATTAACTTAGAGAAAGTTGTCAACCCTTTGGTCTGTTTTCAAACAGAATCTGCTCGAGTTCTTTCTAATGTTTATGAAGTAAATTATTGAGAACAGGCAATGGAAAGTTAAATGAAACTGAGCAAGCATTGAGTTTCCTGTAATTAATTACAGAATGTCATGTTCCATACTTCTTCAGTACAAGACTGAGAGAAGAGTTTCAAGGGAAATTCAACTCCTGGATAATCTCACTGAGAAGCATGTGACCTGTTGGTTGTCCCATGGCACATGGGACAACCAACAGGAGGAAAAGTAAATCAGTAGTAATTGATTCAGAGGAAGATGTCACTGAACTTCAGGAGGATTTAGACAAACTCATGACGTGGTCAGAAAAGTGGCAGATGCAGTTCAATGTAGTTTGAGAATGTCCATAACTTTAGCGCTTATAAACTAAATAACATAGAACTTAGTTCTACAGAATGCGAAAAGGGCTTGGGGGTTATAGTAGTCAGACACATGAAACCAAGACAGTAATTCCTAAACGTACGTAATAATGCAAACAAATTGCTGGGATTTATATCAATAAGTATTAGCAACAGAAGTCCAGCCGTTAAATTAGAGCTCAATACATCGTTAACAAAGCCACACATAGAGTATGCAGCTCAGTTCTAGTGTCCATATTACAGAATGGATATGGTTTAGAAAAACACGTAAGCAAACACTTGGGACTTTGATCATTTCTAACATACAGAGGTTAAATGACAGTAGGCGGAGAGTGAGGTGTGAGTGAAGCATGGGGGACCTGAAAAATGACATATCGGGATAGGGATCATGTGACTTCTGTGTTGCTGGGTAGGTGATGCTTTGCGTGGTTAAGTATCATGTATGCCAATGTTTTAGAAATTTTGTAGTTTCCAGTGTTACGTTCTCTTGTGTCGGTGACGGCGATTACCTAGGCTTCTAGACATAGTCGGCGTCTAAGGTCTTGTTCGGTGAGAACGAGTTGTGCCCCATATCAATTCATCAAATGGCCCGTGGAGTCTCTGTGGAGGACACAAGCTGACCGTGGAGTCTCTGTGGAGGACACAAGCGGACCGTGGAGTCTCTGTGGAGGACACAAGCGGACCGTGGAGTCTCTGTGGAGGACACAAGGGGACCGTGCAGTCTCTGTGGAGGGCATAAGCGGACCGTGGAGTCTCTGTGGAGGACACAAGCGTACCTTAAGTCGTCTCTGTTACTGGCATTTCGATGCTCGCTCAGGCGGACCGAAAGATCTCTGTCCGTTTCCCTTTCATATTTCTTGGAAGAGTATCCACAAGGGTTGGTGTAAACGCTTGCTGTGGAAGTTAGAGGTGTGGGGCTGCGTTTTGTAATGAGGTCTTTGATAGATGTGTTTATGGTGGAAACATTACGTGCCACTCAGATTCGTGCTTCACTTCCCACTCCTGACAGACGTACGGCAGAATATATACTCAGCCAAACTACCACTGCCAACATCCAACAAAACCTGAAGCTTTCACGAAAACTACAAGACCTATGCTTCCACAGCAAATGGAGCGACCAGAAATCATAAATAACTTACCTTCGCACCGAGACAGAAGCCCTCAACCTAGGCGTCGAGTTCACTCCCGATATAAAAAAGAAACACTATCTAGTGGACATTGTAACCAAGAACCAAACTTTTGGGGACTAAGAGTTTCATAAGGGTTTCGTTTAAGGAATTATCACTGTTGCAGCTACTGAGCCTTCAAGACCGATCATTTCCAAAAGATACATCTAAGCACTCAGGGGCCTGGCTAACAACGATGGTATCATCATTACCACCTCTGACGAAGGAGAAAGTGTGGTGCTACTCCACGCTGTCGACTACAGTGAAGTTCTAAATCTCCTCAGTGTTGTCAACACATACAAGCCTGTTTTAGAATCATTGTTACTTCAAAGTACCCAAACTTTTCTTCAAGAGGCCCGTAACTTCTTAGGAAATCAGAGCAGGGCAAGAAACTATTAAAACTTTTCCCAGGTCAACCGAAACCAGCACGCCTGTATGGCCTTCCTAAGACACAGGCCTGGCATCCCACTACGTCCTATCACTTTGGGCATAGGGAGCGCACCACACAGACTAGCCGACCACCTTGCCAAATACCTCTCAGGACTTCGGGGCACCATTAGTCAATCCCACCTCAAACACTCAGGTGACCTTCTCTCTCGAATTTCCAACCTGAATGGTAAAAACAAAAGCATGGATTCCTTTGATGTCACAGCCCTCTTTACAAACGTTTCTACTGATGCTGCAATAAATATTCTGAGACAGAGGCTCATCGATAACCACGACCTCTTATTACCTCTCCTAGATTTCATCAGTCTAGTGGATCTTTGTGTTAACTTCAGCCTCTTCAAGCATCAGGACAGCTGTTACAAAGCTTTGGCATTGGCAATGGGAATCCAGTTCAGTGCTGTGCTCGCCAGTCTCTTTATGGAGAACCTAGGGACAGATTAATTTAGCACCCTCATTAGCAACACCATTACCTGGCTAAGATGCATTGCTAGTCACGGCATTATGCCGGGTGAGTGCCCCGGCATAATGCCGTGACGAAACTCAAAGACCTACCATTATGCCTGGTAGCAGCCTTTAGCATGACGTCAAGGCCTGCCTCCACACTCCTCAGTGCTCACGTGGCTGCTGTGGTGAAAGGAAGTGTTGCACTTTTGTCTCTCATCCGTCCCATCTTTTGCCAGTGTTCTCTTTGGTTTTGAGGATATACATGTTTGATTTTGGGTAAAAGGAAGTCTTTAACACTTGAAACTATAACTCAAATCATAGGGCTTCATAAAGCTGGGCAGAGTTTCAAGGCTGGTGGAGGTGTTGAGTTACCGTCTGCCAAACCTCGGCCTGTCCCCTCGAAACAGACATCTGGTCGTACCTTAATTGTGTTAAAGAAGCAATTAGAGAGTACACCTAAGATAACTGCTAGAGAACTGAAAGAAAAGAGCCCACATCTTCTCTCAGAGGTGTCTGTAAGAACTGTTAACAGATGAGTGTCAGAACTGGCCTACAGTAGTCACCCCCAGATTAGGAAACCGATCCTCTCCAAGCCACAGAAGAAACGTAGGCTGGATTATGCAAAGAAATATCTTCACTGGGCTCCTCATCAGTGGTCTGAAGTTCTTTGGAGTGGTGAAACAACCTTCACTGTCACCTGTAACCGTGGAGGACATGTGTAGCGTCCCAGAGGTAGTGATCCGCTAGACCCATGCTACACCTGTGGGACCACCAAACGCCCAGACTCGCCCATGGTTTGGGGGTGTTTCAGTGCTCAGAGTGTTGGTGAATTTACTGTGCTCCCCCCCCCCCAAAAAAAAAAACAGTATATGAACCAGTATAATTACCTGGAGTTACTGTGTGACAGTTTACATGAGGTGTTTGACAAGTGTTGGGCTACAGTTTTTATGCAGGACGGTGCACCGTGTCATACCGCCAAATCTGTAGTTCAGTGGCTTAAGGACTGTGAAGTGAGGTTCTTTAATGATTTACCAGGCAATTCCCCAGACCTAAACCCTATTGAGAACCTCTGGTGAAACGAAGTTTACTGGGCAAGGATATCAGTTCCATCCCGCGGCTGGAGGCTGCTCTGCATGAGGCATGGAATAATATGGTTTAGAAAGACATGGGCCTACTGGCCCATGCGAGGCAGGTCCTTATCAAAACAACCTCTGCCTATGATGAGGACGGGTAGACGATGAAATCATGTGACTCCTGTGTTGTTGGGTTGGTGCTGCTTAAGTATCATGTATGCCAATATTTTTGAAATTTTGTAGTTTCCAGTGTTGCGTTCTATAGTGTCGGTGACGGCGATTAGTGAGGCTTCTAGGCACCGTCGGCGTCTGAGGACCTGCCTCGCATGGGCCAGTAGGCCTTCTACAGTGTTCCTCCATTCTTATGTTCTTATGACATTCCTCAGGTCACGTGCGTCACACCTCACTCTCCGCCTATATATAATGTCTTTCTACCTATGTATGTTAGAAGTGATCAAGGTCCCAGGACCGAAACGTTTTCTAATAAATATGTTATAGTGTTTTCTTACGTGTCTTTCTAAACCAACTTGTCGGTATTTATTACCAAGGTTTATACCATGGAATAATATACCTCACCAAACCCTCAAGAATTTGTGCGAGTCTTCCTACACGGCTGAGGGACGTGATTAAGCGTAAAGGACACAGCACCAAGTATTAAAACCTCAGTAATTGTGCAAATATATATATTATAATCTTTCATGGTACGTGTTTGTGTTTTGGTATGTGTGTGGGGAGGGGCGGCATAATGCCGTGACTAGCACTGTACGTTGACGATATATTGGTTTTCTATCTGAGACGTGTCAATATCCAGGCCCTCTTCAACAAGATCAGTGCTGCCGAGATATCAATAAAGTTTACACTTGAACTCGATAAAGATGACAAACTTCCTCTCCTCGACGTCCTTCTGTGCTGGTCTCCCGACTGTGACAATCTTCTCTTCAAAGTGTATAGAAAACCTACCAACAAGGACGATTTTATATACTTCTGTTAACACCAAGACACCAGCACTAAAAGAGGTGTCCTCGCTGCTTCTTGAGAGCTTTTCGCATCTCCAGCCCTTGTTTTCTTGAAGAATGTATCTACATAACACAAGCCTTTACACGTCTTCAGTTTCCATCTTTCTTCATCCGTGATTTGCAGACTCAAGGCACAAGCTGTCCTCAACAAGCCACTCATGAAACAGACCTCTAAGCAGTTCATAATTGTGAGGGAAAAGTTCAATAGATAGGAGTAGCGAGGGAATACATAGTAACAATAGTTTCATTGCCGGCTACTTGTTAAGGTAGGGTAAGTCCAGCTCCCGCTATTCCCGCCTTTTCTCCCCCACCCCTAAAGTGATAGTTTGATTGCCGGCTGCTTGTTAACGTAGGGTCAGTCTAGCTCCCACTATCCCTCCCCCCCCCCCCCCCGAAAGGTGACGTGTGGGGCTCTGGTCAAACAGTAAATCACTCGACTCACAGCTCCCAGCACTACTGTAAGTACATGCCTGCCTGCCTTGTATTCTAGTGGATTTATTGGTTGAAAGCTTCACTTTCGACCAATAATAAACTTAGTCTTTTCAGCCTTGCTCTAAGTTGACTGTTGTAATAATCACCACGTCTTTTAGGTATTGTACTTATCATGGAGAGTGATTATTTAAGCAGTGGGTAACCTGTCTATCTTTTCAGCTTGGATGACAGAGGGGGTCACCTGTTAATCAACGAGAAAAACTGACTGAGACGGACTAACGTCCTGGAGACGTCCCATATTGGATTTAATTACCTGTGCACCTGTATGAAATTGCAGGACGTAACCCTACATCATTGCAGCGGTAAAAACCTGCTTTCCTGTCATTGGGATAGAATACTCACGGCTATACTGTGAAGAACTAGCCGGTGGTGGTCACCAACACCTGCGACCCCCCCCCCCCACATCAACGGCTAAGATTTCAACAACACGAAGTGTCACCAACACCAGACACCCCAATATATATATTAGCGTTGAGTTCAAATGTTATTTTATTCATTTTATTTTTCATTTTTCTTTCAAATAGGATATACCTGTCATGTTTTATTGTTTTATGTTTGCTTTAATAAATAATAAAGTGTTTGTCTTTGTTAATTATTATTTCGTTTTCTATTCATTAATTTTCCTGAGGAGGTGCCAGCTTTGGTAATACTGTCTGAAGTTATTACAGAGCTGAGTAAGCCTTCACACACAATGTTCCCATGAGGTGATGCTGCCACGAATACTCGCCAGGTACTTTCTAAGGTAACATAAAGGTTTCCACCATAAACACATCATCTATCAAAGACCTCACTACGAAACGTAGCCCCACACCTCTAACTTCCACAGCAGGCGTTTACACCATTCCGTGCGGATACTACTGTATGCACGGGAAACTGGCAGAGATCTTTCAGTCCGTATGAACGAGAATCGAAATGCCAGTAACAGAGACTACTTAAGGTACGCCTGTGTCCTCCACAGGAATTCCACTAGGCCTCTGATGAACTAGAAAGAGGCACACTTGTTCTCACCGAACAAGACTTTAGACGCCGACGATGTCTAAAAGCCTCACTAATCGCCGTCACAGACACATTAGAACGTAACACTGGAAACTATAAAATTTCTAAAACATTAGCATACATGATACTCAACCAGGTAAAGCACCACCTACCCAGCAACACAGGAGTCGCATGATCTCATCGTCTACCCGTCCTTATCTCTGACATTCTTCAGGTCAACATGCGTCACTCACACCTCGCTCTCCGCCTGCATATACTGTCTTTTTAACCTCTGCATGTTAGAAGTGATCAATTTCCCAAAACCGAAATGTTTTCTAATAAACATGTCCTAGTGTTTGCTTACGTGCTTTTCTAAATCAACTCGTCGGTATTTATTACAAAGGGTTATACCACAGAATGGATGTAAATTTGTTAGAAAACGTTCAGCGAGGAATAACAAAATTAATAAATAGCATAAGAAATATTCTGTATGAAGAAAGATTGAAATCCCTTAAATTACTTTATGTAGATAAATGGTTCAGAGAACCGACAAGTTGATGAATTAGACGCTTGTGCGACACCTGGGTATCTTTATTGAGGAAACGTTTCACCAGACATTGGCTTCACCAGCCCTGTACGAAGAAGAATTGTGAAGATCAGAACCCTGAAGTAATAAATCCCTCAGTCTGGAGCCAATGTAATCAGTCCATCAATCTTGAAAAGAATACAACATATACGCGAAGTGGCTTATATACTGTAGACAGGTGAGGTGAAGCCGTCGTAGGTGGTATCACAGTGGACAAATCCACATGTGGAAGTAGGTCCTGACTGTAGGTTAGGCAAGTGAAGAAGTCCTTATAACAAAATCCCTCCATCAACTTGTCGGTTCTCTAATTGATTTATCTGCATTCCTGTTAGACACAGCAACGTCTTGGGATCGTAAATATAAACTGTTCTTTTTCTCCAGAGTTCTGTCATCCTATCTTAGTTCAGAACTCATCCCTTGCTTATATAAACATGCCATCATCTCACTGGATACAACCCACAACACTACTAACACCCAGTTACCTCATTACTCATGCTAATTTGACAATTACCTTCTTCCCTTGTACCTCATATGACATCGTTCTTTCTTCTCAACAGCCTACGTGACAGCTATTTTGAAGACAGTGACGGTGAACGTGTGGATTGGAATGTTTAATATCCGAGGCTTCCGTTGGATGGACCATACAGCAGTTACCTTTACAAACTGGGCCTCGGGAGAGCCAGACGGACACATGTATTGGGTAAGTGTCTGTCTAATTCTGTCACAATATGTGGCTATCCCTAATCCTTAACACATTTTACATAAACCAAGATCTCTGTTTACGTAATACATCAATCAAAAAAGATGGATTTCATGAGATAATTTCTCACTTAGTACATTCTTCAAGCTCCTGTAAGGGAAGCCACTCCATACACCATCACACATATTAGATATATTGTCATACTCCATCACAAAGGATGCTTTTACCTGTCATACTCAATCACGTAAGATGGCTTTCCTGTCATTCTTTAACACACAGGTCTTGTTAGTCTTACTAAAACACACAGGAAGGCTCTCTTGTTGTCCCCATCACTGAAGGTGATTTTCTGCCATACTGCATCACGCAGAAAGGTTGACCACTATTCTGTTTAATTAAGTTATCGAAAATAATTATCGTATATTTTTAATAGGGAAAAATTCATTTTTTTAACACACTGGCCGTCTCCAACATAGGTAGGATGACGTAAAAAAAGGAAATACTTTCACCATCATTCATTCAATAACTGTCTTACCAGATATACAAAAACATCGTAACTGAAATGACCATCCGCACTGCAACATTCCCGCCCCTTCTTTAAATTGCAAACGCTCTTCTTCCCACCTCCAGGAATCATGTATAGTTAACCAGTTTCCCCCTGAATTTATTTATAATCGTTATCTTGCTCATTTCCTTTTTCAGATTCTTGAGATGCTTATCTTACAAATAACGCAAGTTACATTTAGGAACACCTTTACTAACACCACACTTAGAAAACACCGCACTTAAAAATATCCTAATATACTTTCACGAGTTCAGGTCCTTGTCTAGGTCTGCAGTACCCAACTGCTCAGTATTAAATCAAACGAGGAACTAAAGCAGACACAGAACCAACATGTGATTTAACTGCAATTCTTCACCAAATATGTTCATGTATACTGCATAAACGAGGTACAGAAAGTTAAACATATGCCAATTCAGATGTAAACAGCATTTAGAGTAATAATTAAGAAGTACTTTCTCAACTACAACAGTAAATTCACCCTCATAATGACCCATGGCTGGTAGCAAATATGACGTGAACCAGCTGCCAGCTTCTAAGGATCTGCTTGGGAAAATTGTTACACTAAATAAATTCAGAGAACCACCACTCAACCCTTCCTCAGTTCACAACGGTCACCAAAACAATTAGAGTCTGAAACTACCGCTAGATAGTTCTGGATACTGTGCTTACAACTAGCTGAGATAAATTATTAAATTCTTTCTTTCTTTCAACACACCGGCCGTATCCCACCGAGGCGGGGTTGCTCAAAAGGAATAACGAAAGTTTCTCCTTTTACATTTAGTAATATATACAGGAGAAGGGGTTACTAGCCCCTTGCTCCCGGCATTTTAGTTGCCTCTTACAACATGCATGGCTTACGGAGGAAGAATTCTGTTCCACTTTCCCATGGAGATAAGAGGAAATAAACAAGAACAAGAATTAGAAAGAAAATAGAAGAAAACCCAGAGGTGTGTGTATATATATGCTTGTACATGTATGTGTAGTGTGACCTAAGTGTAAGTAGAAGTAGCAAGACATAACTGTAATCTTGCATGTTTATGAGACAGACAAAAGACATCAGCAATCCTACCATCATGTAAAACAATTACAGGCTTTAGTTTTACACTCACTTGGCAGGACGGTAGTACCTCCCTGGGTGGTTGCTGTCTACCAACCTACTACCACAGGACGGTAGTACCTCCCTGGGTGGTTGCTGTCTACTAACCTACTACCACAGGACGGTAGTACCTCCCTGGGTGGTTGCTGTCTACCAACCTACTACCACAGGACGGTAGTACCTCCCTGGGCGGTTGCTGTCTACCAACCTACTACCACAGGACGGTAGTACCTCCCTGGGTGGTTGCTGTCTACTAACCTACTACCACAGGACGGTAGTACCTCCCTGGGCGGTTGCTGTCTACCAACCTACTACCACAGGACGGTAGTACCTCCCTGGGTGGTTGCTGTCTACCAACCTACTACCACAGGACGGTAGTACCTCCCTGGGTGGTTGCTGTCTACCAACCTACTACCACAGGACGGTAGTACCTCCCTGGGTGGTTGCTGTCTACCAACCTACTACCACAGGACGGTAGTACCTCCCTGGGTGGTTGATGTCTACCAACCTACTACCACAGGACGGTAGTACCTCCCTGGGTGGTTGCTGTCTACCAACCTACTACCACAGGACGGTAGTACCTCCCTGGGCGGTTGCTGTCTACCAACCTACTACCTAGAAAATTATTAAATTATGGATTTGTATTGACTTTATCTAATATAGAGTGAATGCAAATTGTAATAAGTTTAATTAATAAGCCGCAATGCCATGCACCCACTTATTAATGTACATGGTTCATGCAACACTTACAAACACCACATATAACTAAAAGTTATAATCACATTTACGAACACCTCACTCAGTTCTTGAAAAGAAAAACTGAATAATTACTAAGATACAAGCTTAAATAAAACTATAGTTAATCTTGTTATTTGCATAATTCGAAACAATAGTTTAAAAAAAAATTACACACTAATGTATCACTGGTGACGATGTATCACGATCACGTGGACACCATGCCCAGCCCTTCTAGGGCAGGGTAGGTGCCTGAGCCCGAGCCTTTACCTCATAAGACTGTCATTCCCATTTACCCCCTTGGGGCAGGGATGGCAGACCAGAGAGGCCTAGCTTGTGGCTAGGCCTGGGGACAGTTGGTCCCAAAGATGAGGTACTTGTGCCTCCTCCCATGGGAGACTTAGGTCTCAGACACTCCCTAAAGTGGGAGCCAAGGCCGGGCCACCACTTGGAAAAGGCCCGGGCCGGGAGAATACCGGCTAATCTTTAATAATAATAATAATAATAATAATAATAAATCACGATCACGAGTACTTACAAGGGCTGTAATACCTGGCCGGGTTAAATTAATATGCCAGGTTACGGGAGGAAAATTTAGATGAATGGGCTCTCTCTGACAATAAACGGTTTAAGACAAACATATCTTTCAATTTAGCTCTCTCAACCCTGTGCAGACACAAGTATACATCATCAAAATAAATATAATCAGACTAAGTGATAAACTCGAAGAGTCATACAGTATTGCAGGGAGGGATTCACTAAAGGAGGAATATATGGAGGTTAGGAATGAGGGATAGTGGAGAGTGCAGAATGTAAAATAAATTCAAAGTTGGTGCAATAAGTTGGTTGCTGTTAAAGTCAAAGAGAGAGTGAGTCACCATCAAAAGTGAGACTTTTAGCGAGGAGGTCAGTTTGAGTGTGCTGGGAAGGTGGAGAGATCGGAAGTGAATTCCGCATACCCCCTGATAGACAGAACAGTCTATTAAGAAAAGGTGAGCAGACAATCTGACAATCTTTGCAAAGTGGAATTAGGCGTTTTTCCATGAGATTCCAGTGAGTGATACTCGTGTGACAGACACACAGGTGAGAGAGTGCAGTCTCTCAAACACAACGGAAACCCAAACGTTGTTTGACAGAAAATAATTTACTGAGAACCCACTTGGAGCACCGTTGTTACCAGCGGTGGTTGCGAATTTGCCTACAGATTACTGGAAAATATTCCAAAAAAAGAAATATCCCTGTTGGAAATTGGGAGGTGATGAACCTAGCACCTGAGACTGCCTGTCTGCCTACTGGAACCCACACAGATCAAAATAAATATGAAAATACTTCTCATCAAATTACGCCCCCATTCAGAGCTTTTAGCCGATCAGATGAGGCATTCTCTTATTACACTGGAAGCAGTTTTCTTAATAAAAAATTAAACCTGATTTACACCTATTCAGAATAAATTTATGGGTTATCGTCCTTATTATAGAAGGCATCGTCAGTAATATTTTTGAAGCATACATTGGTTTACCTGGAGAGAGTTCCGAGGGTCAACGCCCTTGCGGCCCGGTCTGTGACCAGGCCTCCTTAGGTCAGTGTCCCAGGATGCGACCCACACCAGTCGACTAACACCCAGGTACCCATTTTACTGATGGTGAACATAGACAACAGGTGGAAAGAAACACGTCCAATGTTTCTACTCTGGCTGGGAATCGAACCCAGGCCCTCACCATGTGAAGCAAGAGCGTTAACCACCAGGCCACCATCACTATTTCTTCAATAAAATTATCAAATCGCAACATATGGCGCCCACTAGCAGTGTGATCTTGGTATTGGGAAGCTTCTCTACTGATGAAAATTTGAAGCCCATCAGATGAGTCATTAACCAAAAATTTGAAGCCCATCAGATGAGTCATTAACCAAAAATTTGAAGCCCATCAGATGAGTCATTAACCAAAAATTTGAAGCCCATCAGATGATCATTAACCAAAAATTTGAAGCCATCAGATGAGTCATTAACCAAAAATTTGAAGCCCATCAGATAGTCATTAACCAAAAATTTTGAAGCCCATCAGATGAGTCATTAACCAAAAATTTGAAGCCCATCAGATGAGTCATTAACCAAAAATTTGAAGCCCATCAGATGAGTCATTAACCAAAAATTTGAAGCCCATCAGATGATTCATTAACCAAAAATTTGAAGCCCATCAGATGAGTCATTAACCAAAAATTTGAAGCCCATCAGATGATTCATTAACCAAAAATGGTACAGATTCCCACCATACCCAGTTTTTCTTTTAGTGTTTCACTTTATAACAAATTTGCCTGCATGCAAACACTTGGTGCTGCCCTGGCTCTGTTATGCACACTCAAGCCGTTCAGAAAAGGCAACCTGAAATTTATTTATAATGGTTTACCGGGAATAATAATTTCACACTTTTTAACACACAAAATCATCAAACCTGATGAATCTTATTGTAGCTAGCATGTCCAGTGTCTAACGCGACGGTCTGGAGCTTTTTCTTTATTTTATTTATTTAAAACAGTACAATACATTAAATAAAGAAAGTATCACATTTCATTTCATTCACAGAAAGTATAATTACCATTATCAATATA